CACAACTCATTATAATTTATTTTTTCTTACAATGAGACAAAGTAGTAATGCATATTTTTGTTTGGTCTATTCGACAGGTGAGCTTCATGTCCCATATTCATAATTTCATTGATATTCTCACCTAAATTTTATCCGTTAATAATTCTTGGTAGAGTCCACATGATAATTTATTGTTAGAATTTTGTACTTACTTGGTGTAAATTGTGTTTAATTATTGGGGATATTTAAATTATTATTGTGGGTTAGCTATTGGTCTTGCCTAACTATTGAGAATGAATGGGAAGGTAAGAAAACGACAAGGTCAAATCACTTTGGCAATCATAATTCAAGACTTTTTATTGGATGGTTAACTATTCGGTACCAAATATGTTAATAAAGGATAAACACAAAAAGGAAATATAAATTTTTTTCTTGAACTTTAAATATTTCACTTATTTTGAACTGGCAAAAAAATTTCAAATAATTCATTTAATATGGATTGGAGAGATTTGTTAATGAGGAAATAAAATTTAGTGAAAAATACTTCTAACTAATAAAATACGAAAAACGTTTATATATATATATATATTTGTTTGTTTATATTTTATATTTTAAGGTTCAAAGAATTTTGTTGCTGATGCGGTAGCTAATGAAGCACCCACTAGACTGGTAATTAATATCCAAGTAATTACACCAATTTTAGTTATAGAAAAATACTTTCAACAAATAAAACACTAATTTTATTTTAACAAAGAATAATGAAGTATGAATATACAGAATTTCTTTCTTGAGATAGAAAATATGTTTTTTTTGGACTGATGCATATTTAAATTTTTAGGTAAAATTTCGAACTTCAATATCTCGATTTGAAAATGTCCTACACTTTACTTTTATACGATAGAATTTTGTTACTTGAAAAAAGTTTTACTCATAAAGTTAAAGTCGAAAAAAGTGTTATGGAGTTTGAAGAGGATTCATTCCTTATAGGATGAGATATATTATTTTTTTTTAAAAGGGATGATGACCACAAGTCTAAAATCATATCGTGATGACAAAAAAATTCAGTTCCTTCCACATTCCAATACATTTTATAAAATTTGTTAGTATAAGATCAACTTAACAAGGCTGATACATAGATACTACTAAAAATGATAGATTTAATAACGAGTATTCCACTTTCGACGCTTTTTTTTTTGAACTTGATTGAGCTTACTGTAAAATAGATGATACTACATGACGATACGGCCCCAACACCAAACATAATATGGCTGTATCCTCATGTAGCATATCAAAACTTTGCTTCTTTTGAAGTGAAAACTACCAAAACTTTTGTTGAAATAAAAAAAGCAAAACGTAGACAAGCGACAGTAGGCCTGTTATAGCATAAATTTATTCTTTTTAATATTATTTCACTAATCATATTTATTTGATGCTTATATAATTTATGATGAGGTAGCATTAATATAATTTTTTATACTATTTCACTCATAATACCTATTTCAAATTTCATAAAAAATTGAATTTTTAATTGCATTTTAATTTTTAGGAATCTAAGCTTCAAACTTCTTGGTCCTATTTTAAAATTGTTTCGTATTTTAACTATGAGTATTTTTATCTAGATATTATTTTCACTTAAAATAGTTATAATATTTCTTAATTATTTGTTCACTCCCAAAAAAGAGTGATCAACTTTGGTTGATTTTGGGCATGATTTTAAATCATATCGAAATGAGATTATTTTGAATTTAAAATTTTATTTGAACATGTATTTTGAAAATTTTAAGTTATATCTTTTTTATAAACATGAAAAATCTTTTAGTAAAAACTATCAAAACTTTCATACGTTCTTAGAGCCTGTTTGGATGGGCTTATAAGCTGGTCAAACTGGCTTAAAAGCCAGTTTTTGACTTATTAGAGTGTTTGGCAATTATCAAAGTGACTTATTTTAAGTCAAAAATGACTTATTTTAAGCCAAAAGCTAAAAGCTAGGGGGGGGGAGCTTTTTTTTTTTTAACTTAAAAGCTCTTTTATGTTGACCAAGTATATTACCTTTTTGCCCTTAATTCTTTTATACAATTTCCAAATTGCCCATATTGAATTATTATTATTATTAT